TACCCGAATTATAAAGCCATATTTTATTTTCGAAAATATTAGAAAATACCTAGCCTACAGAAGCCTAGATATTTTTACAAAGTTATGTTTGTAGCTGGAAAAATTTCAAATTCATAAATTTTGTATGCAAAAATAAGATTACCAACCGCAAACGTATATTTCTCAATTGTCGCTAAACCATTCCAGATAGGGAAATGCCCTCATAGGAAATGTTGTTTATACTGAAGAGTTGTTTATGCTGATGTATAGAAATTGAAGATCTGGAGTACTTGATGTGGAACATCAACAGCCCAGCTAAACTATTCGAGATACTGTAATGTCTTCTTAAACATCAAGTACTCCAGATCCTCAATTTCTTTATTCCAACAAAAACTTCCCTTCAGTATAAACAACATTACCTATGAGGGCATTTCTCTATCTGGAATGGTTTAGTGACAATTGAGAACTATAAGTTTGCGGTTGGTAATCTTATTTTTGCATACAAAATCTATGAACTGGAAATTTTTCCAGCTACAAACATAACTTTGTAAAAATATTTAGGCTTGTGTAGGCTAGGTATTTTCTAATATTTTCAAAAATAAAATATGGTTTTATAATAAGGGTGAGTATGTCTTCGAGTATGTGTTATTATCTAATAAATATGTCTCAAGGTCATGAAGAAAACAGAGTTTGAATGAGAACGAAACATATTTTTTTCCAATTTCACTTAATATATGTATATTTTTGTATGAAATGTACCAGAGAGCGTTCCAGAAATGAATACTCCGTCCTTGGTTTATTCGAAAATGATACTCAATTTCTCGTGTCTTATTTACTTAAGGAGTCAGAAGTCCTCAAGTTCAGCTCGTAAAAAATAAACTTTGCCTCCCTCCCCCCACCCCCACAGGCGTGATTGAAGTGTTGTCTCTGGATTTCTTAAAGACTACCTAACTAACAACAGCCAATAGCAAGTTTGAAAAAATATTCTATCACATGGTAGTTATGGCTAATTCAGAGCTGGAAGTCACCTTCAAAAAAATGATGGGTTTCCCAGAAGCATAACTCGAAAAGTATAAGTCCTATTAACATCGACCCAAAACAATTATGTAGACAATTTTATAAGGAATATTTCTTACCTTGACAAATTTCTCCTATCTTTAATCGTTTCCGAGAAAAATAAAGATAACTGAAATTTGGGACATAAAAGGGGGGGTAAAGGGGGTAAAGTTATATTATCCCCGCGCGACGTTTCCCAAATTTGTGGTTATATTATAACATTCTTGATCTAAAATGCAAACTGTGTGCTACTTTTTTCTTTGGATCAGTAAAAGACACCCTGTATGTACAAAAGGGTTTTAAAAATCGCCTCCCTGACCGTGGCCAGACCCTTGGGCATCGTTACAGCGGTAATGAAGCGCTACCTGTCCGATTGCGAATCCACGGATATAAAGAAAAAGAGAAACGGTAAGGCTTTCACCTTTGAGTAAGGCAGTTCACACTCGTAATTTTCCCCCTTTGGGTGGAGCTTTGTGGGAATCAGAATTTTTACAAAAGGACTTCACGAAATTCCATACGATATCGGATATCATTATCATGACTCACGTCTACGCATGAAATTACGGGTGTCACAGGTTGTCATTTACAAGCTGTCATAAACCGCAACAATTTCGAATACGTTTCACCTTTGCTTACCTAAATAATCGAAGGTTTTCTCTAATTACCTATTGCGAGGCCATTTTAGAGGCCTACTGGAAGTAAATTGGCGATTTGAATCTCCCAGGTGACGGCAGCCAGACCAATTTATATTTGAAGGACATACGTACTCCAGGAGCTAAAAAGGAAATTAAAGTTGATTTCACTCAGTAATTCGATACAGTGGAAAACTGAAAAAATATCTACTTACAAAAACCTTCTCTACCTTCGCTTCACTGTACCGAAAGCTTAACCTTGGAAACATCTTTCTTAAACTTCATATTAAATTAGCCAACTACCAACTAGACCCATATTCTTCCATTTAGCAGCCACTGAGTTGATATTCAGCAAACACTAGTGAGCTTATAACGACAGAAACTTTGAGTGGCAGCTAGTACACAGTGGTTATGAGGAAAGTTTATAATGTAGAACTTACCGCGGGGCATAGTTACCACGTAATCCTGGGGCAAAGACGCGGGATTGTGTTTAACTTGGAAATGATATTCTATCTTGTTGAAGTGGGTTAGTAGAGGAAATAAATTGTCACAAAGAAATAGTAAATTATATACATTTAATTGAATTTTATAGAGCTATAAAATAGCTACATAGCAATAATATTAATGTCATAGCAACTCTCCGAAAAGTTCCTTCGTTCCCGTGACATTTGGATTGTTCAAATTTGACAAAATTTTCTGTGTCATTGTGATGTGATGTCATATTTCTTTTTTCAACTTAAATCGAAAAACATCGACCGTCACTGAAAACACCTTCGATGACGACAATTTTCCACATCCCTAAAACACCCGTTCTTCATCTAGTCATCATAAAGCTATTACCGAAATACCGTAGTATTTCATGAAAGCAACCAAAATGAGTCTCTCGTTAACCTATTAATCTACTCTACATATTACCCTATAACCCAATATTTGGTTACCGAGCTCATTGAATTTATTGGCTGTATCGCTGTATCTTCGTCCGAGGCTGTATCATGTAGTACAGTCAAGCTGAAATCCGGTTAGACACTCGATCCTTCAATTTACGTGTTTTCCAAAAAACTATCCAATTTCCAAACTGTCCAACCCAGCCTGAGCTTGAATGTACAGTCAACAAAGATATAGTCAACCAGAGATTTTGCTATAGGCACGAAAGTAAAGTGTGTGATATAACTTTTGAAGCACTCGCGATTGTTTTCACACATTTTAAGTATTGAACCCGCAACCAAAAGCACATGTAACTGTGCTGAAACGTCAGGACGCAGGAAAATTATGAATACTTATTTGCCTAAATATTATCGCGATAGACCCGTGGTTAAATAGGTAGGTATTTGAAGAGGTAGCTGCGATTTGCTTTATGCCTTTGAATGTTCCACGGTAATTGATGATGGATGGATGGACTCCCAAAACTGCAAACGATTGAAGCTACTAAAAGTTCTACTGTAATGTTTCAAGCATAACGTTCGTTTAAGTGTACTAATGCTAGTCCTTTCCTTAGGGCGATGGCCGGAGGTCTCAATGAGTCAATTAAGAACAGATTGCTCTTAATTGGTGTAGGGCAAGTGACAATAACGAGCTTACATTGTGCTCTGCCTGTTTACTTCTCTGTACAGATTTATTATTATCAAACAAAGGAAGATGTAATATATAACTAACCAAATATTCCAAGATACCACATTTGTTGTTATTTATATTTCATTCTGTTTAATTTAACTAAGCAAAGACGCCTGGATCCTCTTAGTTTTAAAGTTTTTTTTCCATTTGTATTGGCGGGTATAACCGCGCAGGATGTTTCAAAATCATCAGAAAAATTTAATCAAGCACAGTATATCTCATGCGATATACGTTTCATAATTTGACAAGTTAATGTCTGAAACTTGCATGCAAAGCAAAACCTACCTATTTAAGGGACCAACTAATACTGGATTTCGTTAGTATTTTTATGAAATATACCTACCAGTACCTAGAAGGCGGTACTTTAAATGGGTAGGTAGATTTGCAGGTAGTACCTAAAGGTCTACCTTTCAAATCGTGATGAAATAAGTTTTATCTTAGCGATAAAAGATTTGACACCAACCAATATGTTTATGACAAATGTGTGCGACGACTTTTAGCCGCACTTGACAACACATTTTCGTCATGGCTTTACTTATTCAACGTATCGGGTATATTGTCCTACTGGGGACCGCGACTTGCGTTACCTATTCGTTTTTGCCTACACTGTTGTTGCTTGTGACATTTAAGGACCTACGTAACTATTCTGCCTTTCCTATTATAAATAAATAAATAAATAAATAAATATCCCTGGACGAGACACACAGCGCCATCTAGCCCCAAACTAAGCAAAGCTTGTACTATGGGAACTAGACAACTGATATAATACATATATACTTTTTTTTTTTGTAAATAAATACATATGATACATAGAAAACACCCAGACTTAACACAAATATTTGAAAATTGACTTTACAAATATTTGTGTCCAGTGGGAATCGAACCCACGACCCTCGGCGTAGAAGGCAGGTGTACTATCCACTACGCCATCGGGACAGTCACATTATTCATTTATTTTCGCTTTTTTAAAGCTTGTTGCATTATTTGTACATTACTAGGTAGGTAAATATGTAATAGTACAGTGACGTAATCGCAACTTTAAACATTACCTACACTCTGTTAGAAACTACACAGTATAACGAGTTGGAAACTTCAAAAACAAAGTTTTTAATTTGAAATATGAAATACTCATCAGCGACCGCCGGGACTTGAGCCCGGGACCGGAACCGTCCCACTACTCTACGAACTGAGCACCTAGCTGACCCTGATGAACTTTTTAACCTCTTGATGCTCATCTCCAAGCGATGATTTGTGAGTGCACTAAAAATCCTAATACAAAGTATAAAAAATCGTTCTGAAGAATGGATTAATTGACAGCCTAAGTACTTACAAGAAGGACGCGTCTAAAGATATGCTGTTGGGTAAAGTATAGACCTTCCATATGCTGCCTAACTAACATCCACACAAAAAGTACCAAAAAGTAAGTACAAAGCTACTTTTGTTAATATAGCACGACGTTGCGTGTCGCACGCCATATCGATCGCTGAAAACTGTTTCAAATATACAAAACTTGTCCAAGTGTAACCTACTATCCTTGTTCAAATAATGTCTGTCCCTTAGTTTTGTATTATATTACTATGAAGAGTAAGTGTATCAGGTTTTGTATGATAAGCGATTTACCTGCCTTATAAATTAGCTTAGTACTTAAATACAAGTTTATTAGTTATTTTTAGTCGTCAGTGGCCAAGATATATACTTGCTTAATTCGCAGCCTAGAATAGAACCGCGGTAGTCCAGTTAGTATATGTATAGTAACGTCGGAAGTACAGATGCCGAAGGTAAGTCGCAGGTTCAAATCCTGCCTGCGGTGGAAAATTTAGCATGTTTTCCAAAAAAGCTTAGTACATACGCAACTTTTTAGAAGACCTAGAATTTATATTTAAAAGCGATAGGTACGTTTTGCGGCGTAGTAGCTCTCTTCGAATGTTTTTTACCCGCTGAAGATGTCTCAGTCAATAAACATGACACTCTAGATTCATTAATCTACCGTAGTACTAGTAAAGTACGAAATATTCTAGCTCACAACCGCGCGCCAGACAGTTTACTAGGTGCTTTCTAGGTAAAACACGGGCGACGAATATTATCATGTAATGCGATCTCTTGCAAACATGAAGAGAGACGCTTCTACATAATATCGGGTAAATTGTTTATTCTTCACTAGATGTACGGAGATACTTTGTTAAAATATTTCCATTTGAAGCATAAATATGTGAATCTGTTGAAAATGCTTGAGTTAAATAATATAAAACAAGTACTAGTCACAAATGTGTCGGAAACAGGCTGCTCATAGCAGTAAAAAACCTATCAAACAAAGTTTAAAAAAAAAAGTAGGTTTCATCGCGATTGTAGATAATAAAATCACATCCCTAGATTTCCCGCTGGATTGCTTGAATTAAAAACATAAATAACGAGGTCTTTCTGTATTACTGTCATAAAAAACCGGCGTCGGGTTATTCAACCGACGGTGATGCACAGGGGATTCAACCTCTTTATTTGAAAGGGGAAAATGGGAAAAAGTCATTAAAATTATGAATGTACCTCTATAACATTTTTAGGTAGGATGATGATTTTATTTTAAAAAGACCGAATAGCTTGACCCTAGCAGTTATAAGTATTAGCTGACAATGTCTATATTGTAATATAGGTTAGGTACATTTGTGTAGAAAGTTTCATACTCCATGCTTTCATATTTTGGGTAAGTAATACTTAGGTATATTAAAAAAAAACATTATTTGGGCAGAAAACCTATATTCGAGTTTGTTCATAAATTAAATTATCCTTCACAAATACGGAAGATAATACAATCGTAAACAAAGGGTTGTGTACAGAACTCGTAATATGAAAAGTTTATACTCAGGCTCAAAAAACCCTGCCGAATTGGGTCAGCCATATTGGCCATATGTTCATTCCAAAGTTTGTTTGTTGATTTTACATGTTTCATGTGCCTTTAAAGACCGGGCACGCCGTTTGTCATGCATGCCGTTGGCAAAATGACTGGTTCATATGGGCTTGTATGAGATACCAGAAAGTATATTGGCGCTTATCGCTGTCACATTGGCGGCGCACTACGCAGCGTACAGCGCCCGAAGTTTAATTTGACATTTCCTTATGAATATGATATGACAAATATCATACCGAATCGGTATGGAATATCGGATTAATTGATACCTACCTAAATCAAAACATCAAAGATTTTTCGCTCAAATTGTCATATCTTTTAAGTATCACATATTTTTAAGGATACTAAGTATATTAAATTGCACTACATATAAATACGCGAATACGTAATCATAACTTAAGTGCTAGAACAGAGAAAAACTTTGTAAAGGAAAAGAAAAATCTAGCTACGAAGTTGGGACGAAAAAACCTCAAAAGCGAGGCAAGAGTTATCGACTTTCGTGTAACTTTACGATATCTACAACGACGGCTGGTATAAAGAAGAGTTTAGTAGCTGAGAAAGTATTGAGATAAGAACCGAAGCGTGGTGCTGGTGATACACATATACGAGCATCGATAATATACAGGCCATTTGTGAAGCTCTATGAAAGGGGAATTTATTGGGAACTAGCTGGTTAACCTATGTAAATTTACGTGAACTGCGTGCGTATATACATACATAAAGTTCCCATGGGCATATCACAATTATATACTTTACTAACTACTCATACTTATTCGTGTTACTTTACTGGAACTGTAGCTGGCTGAAATAAACTATGTAAAAGAAAAATCTAGCTTGAGAGTTGGGTTACAAAAAGCTCTGGAGCGAGGAAAGAGCTATCGACTCTTGTGTTACTTTACGATATCTACAACGACGGCTGGTATAAAGAGGAGTTTAGTAGCTGAGAAAGTATTGAGATAAGAACCGAAGTGTATATATGAGCGTCGCTAAAATACAAGCAATTTGTGAAGCTCTATAAAAAGGTAATTTATTGGGAACTAGCTGGTTAATCTATGTCGTGTACTGCGTGTACATACTCATACATAAACTTCTCGTGGTCATATCACAAAAGCTCTGTAGCGAGGTAAAAGTTATCGATTTTCGTGTAACTTAACAATATCTACAACGATGGCTGGTACAAAGAAGAGTTTAGTAGCTGAGAAAGTGTTGAGATAAGAACCGAAGTGTGGTACTGGTGATACCTACACACATGTGAGCATCAATAAAATGCGGCTAATTTATGAAGCTCTACGAAAAGGGATAAGCGGGGTTGGTTTCTGATGTTTTTATGCCTGTTAGTTGCAGGTGTACAATGTAACGGCGCCGATTGTCCAGTTGAGGCTGGTGCTCTCTACACCCTAAAAGAGCAAACCAGCACCGGGGCGGATCAGTACCTTATTGGTCGGGGGCTGCCCAACTTGGAGCGGGCGGTAACTGATCAGTGGGTCTACGGGCGGGTGGGTCCCGCTTATCCATGCGATTTGCAACATGGAATGTCCGTACTCTGAGGACAGGCCTCCCTGACACCTGTGGAGGTTCTTCTACTGACGCACAAGATCTGCGTAAAACTGCCGTAATCGACGCCGAACTACACAGACTGAACATTGCTGTTTGCGCTTTACAAGAGACCAGACTCCCTGACGAGGGTTCCTTGCGTGAGACACATTATACATTCTACTGGAAAGGAAAGGACAGCAGCGCTGTGCGCGAGTATGGTGTTGGTTTTGCCATACGCAACGACCTCTTAACATCTATAGAGGCTCCTTGCGGCATCTCGGAACGCATTATGTTGCTGCGATTAAATACGGACCATGGTTACGTATCACTGATTTCTGCTTACGCACCAACACTATCCTCAACAGATGAAGCCAAAACACAGTTTTATGACCAGCTCGACCAGACTCTACGCGGGTTAAAACCATCTGACCGCTTATATATTCTGGGCGACTTTAACGCTAGGGTCGGACAGGACAACATTGCTTGGCCAGATTGTATAGGTAACCACGGTATAGGAAGCTTAATGAAAACGGCCAACGTTTATTAGAGCTTTGCTCTAAACACCTACTGTGTGTTACCAATACCTACTTTAAAGGCAAATCAACTCGCAAAGTGTCCTGAAACATCCTCGTTCTGGACACTGGCATCAACTGGACCTTATCCTTACCAAAAGAAAAATCTCCGCGAGACCCTGCACACGCGATCATTTCACAGCGCTGATTGTGACACAGATCACTCCTGGTGGCATCACAAGTTGCTATAGCTCACAAAAGATCCACTCATCCAAATTGCCTGGTAGGAAGAAGCTCGATCTTCCAAAACCAGAGACGATGAGGTGGTCCAAAAGTATGAAGAGCTGGTACGCGACGAAGTTGCCACCTGGGATGTAGACTCCGATAGAGGAGGAATGGGGCAAAGTAAAGAAGCTACTTACAGAAGTAGCCGGTACGGCTTTCGGTCATCAGAAAGCCAAAACCAGGACTGGTTCGCTGAAAATCTCGAACACATTACACCTCTGCTCGAGTCCAAACGACAAGCTGCGCTAAAACATCGCCTTAACCCATCCGAAAAGACGCGTATCGACCTATCGAATGCAAAATCAGCTTTACAACGCACATCACGGTACTTCGCAAATGCATACTGGACCGAGCTTTGTCAAAGCATTCAATCATGCGCTGATATGGGAAACTTTGGTGGTGTTTACGCTGGGATTAAAAGGCCCTTGGTCCTTTTCCTAAAAACAGCCCCCTTAAAGAAGCGGACGGCACTGTTATTACAGATGCTCAACGCCAACTCGAACGATGGGTAGAACATTATGTTGGTCTCTACTCAGAACCAGTGAACATAATGCCAGAAGCTGCAGATTGCATGCCAAAACTAGCTACCTGGACTGAGTTAGATGATCTTCCTACCATAAGGGAGTACCACAAGGCTGTAAAGCAGCTTAAAATTGGAAAATCACCTGGAAACGATGGTACCCACGCCGAAATTATCAGGCTCAAGTGCATATTACCCATCCTGCACAATCTGTTGTGTAAATGTTGGGAAGCGGGATATATACCACAGGATATGCGCGATGCTAACATCATTACCCTATACAAAGGCAAAGGTGACCGCGGTGACTGTAACTGTTATCGTGGAATATCCCTTTAAGTATAGTAGGTAAATTATTTGCTCGGTTAGTCTTAATAAGACTCCAGAAACTTGCTGATCGTGTATATCCCGAATCGCAATGTGGATTCCGCGCCCAACGTTCCACAACAGATATGATCTTTACACTTCGCCAACTGCAGGAAAAGTGTAGAGAGCAGAAAACACCTCTGTTTGTGGCGTTCGTCGACCTTAACAAAGCCTTCGACACCGTGAGCAGGGAAGGACTCTATACTGCACTTTTAAACATCGGGTGCCCTCCAAAACTTCTAAGCCTCATTAAATCCTTCCACGAGGACATGAAAGGATCTGTTGTTTTTAACGGCAATACATCCGAGCCGTTCGAAATGCGTAGAGGTGTTCGCCAAGGCTGCGTGTTGGCTCCTACCCTGTTTGGTATTTTCTTCTCATTGCTTTTTAAAGTTGCTTTCGGCGATGACCAACAGGGTATACACCTGCACACTAGGGCTGACGGGAAGCTGTACAATATCTCGCTTCTTAAGTCAAAGCGTAACCGCGATGACTTATTCGTCGATAGCCTTTTGTTCGCTGACGATGCAGCCTTCGTTGCTAATTCTCAAAGTGAGCTTCAAGACATTGTTGATAAGTTTTCCCACGCGTGTTCTCTGTTCTCAATGTCCATTAATGCCAAAAACAGTAGTGCTAGCTCAAGGTGGAGAAACACCACGTATTTTGCTCGGTGGCGTTCCTTGAACATAGTTGAC